ATAAAAATTCATGATATTTTATATCTTACTCGTGAATATTTTTCCTTAATTAACTAATATCAATGATATTCATTCCATGATTGAGTTGGTATGTAGAAAAGTAACGATCAACAACAAGGACTTAGAATTATGATAACAATTTGTGTTTTACTCTAAAAATTGATTTTATAGAAAATTTCATTGAATTTAAGAGTTATATTAAATTTGATTTAACAAATATTACCTTGAGGGGGCAAAGAATGAGAATGATCCAAACTCAGGGGGTAACTTATTGATTTTTTAAAATGAAAGGTTACATTAATAAGTATGACATAACCTCAGGGGGATAATTAATAGTAAATTTCCCGAAGATGTAAGATGAATATGAATAAGCAAAAAAACCGGTGATTGGTATTGGCTCTGAACCATAATTTTATCTTTTCACTCGGGGCCTTATAAAGTATTCACAATTTCATATAGGATACGCCGACACGCATACCCCATAAGCCTAGCTCCGATTATTAAGAATATGTTTGACATAACTAGCTAAAAAATATTTTTGTGAGCTTTTCAATAACTATTAGCTTTTAGCGACTGAAAAGAATTTAAAATAAAAAAGTTGTAGTTGTTTGGTAAACAATTGACCGTATGATTTAGTTTTATTTGGTATAATAATTACAAGCTGCAGTGATTAATTCATATTAAAAGTTACCGATTTTCTCCTAGATGCTGCCCGTTGTAGCATCTAAAAAATATTTTATTTTTGTAATAAGTTACGTTCTTAAAAATTGTCGTACCAAACATACACCTAAAAACTATTAGAAATTTTTAAATAGTACAAAATCTAGAAAGTATAGACTTATGTCTACCAAACATGCACTAAAATTACTATCACCCAGGGACATAATTGTAACTTGACTAGTCAAGATTCAACTTTAGTTAATATAGGCAGATAGCACTCTTTTTGCCTGTCATTTTAATAGAGCAAACATATTTACACAAACATAATAGAAATAATAATCTTACTAATTAATGCAAGGCCACAATCAAGTGTCTCATCTTAGCTGAAAAAGATATTTTTACTAGCTTTTAATAATTGTTAGCTTCTAGTGACTGATTTTTTTTAAAGAAACAAGTTGTAGCTGTTTGATGAAAAGACGACTGTTGATATAGTTCTGTTTGGCATAGCAAGTTCTTGTGATTACTTGATGCTAAAAGCTACATAGGATGCTACCTGCTCTAGCTTCTTAAATAAGATTTTTTATTTTGAAAAAAAAACTCTTATAAATTGTCGTGTCAAATATACAACTAGAAATTTTTAGATACTTTTTAAATAGACAAAAATAGCACAAAAATAAAAGGTAGGGGATCATGCATACCAAACGTGCACTTACTCTTTAATTACTAAGAGCCCTTTTGAGTTTTGATGATACTCGATCAAATTCAATGAATCGGCTAAATCTGAAATTGATAAGAGTGGTTTATTCGGAATTGGCTATATATACTAATTATAAAAGAAGAAGAATAAAATACAGAAAAAAAATATATGAAAGAAATTAACTAAAATGATCTGTTACAGTAACTTTGCTAAATCGGCCAAAAAATTGTTACTCAACCTTACTTATTTTGTTTATTTATCAATTAAACGCGTGAAATCAAAAGTTGTGTGTTTGATATAAAGCTATGTTGTAAAAACCGGACCGGAGAGTGACCCGGCCACATGACTGGGTCACGGGTCAACCCGGACCCGGTGGGTCAACCCGGTCAACGCTGGAAAACCGGTCAATGATTATACGTCTATATAATAATAGTAAACATATAATTATATATAAAATTATAATAAAAATTAGCTATTATTCATAATAATCAACTAACAATACTACTTATTAAGCATTTAATACACTCTTATAATATTTCAATGTATATTTTGATCTTATAAAAATATATAATGATATTTTTATTTTTATTGTACATCTATATTAAAATTTGGCATGATGTTCATTCTTAAATAAATATATAAATATATTACGTAGTTTTTCTTTTTAAGGTATTAAAATTGCAATTTTATTGCTATAAAAAATGCATTAAAAATAAAAAAGAAATTACTTTTTTTGGTAAAAACACCCAAAAACTGGGTTTTACCGGGTTTCTTGGGTCCGGGTCTTGACTGGGTTTTCCCGGGTCAGCCGAGTTTTTCCGGTTTTTGACCATTTCCGGGTTTTGAAAAAACCGAACCGGTTTTTTGTCCGGGTCACCGGGTTCCGGGTCAACCCGGCCGGGTCGGGTCGGTTTTTTAAACATAGATATAAAGTTGATTGATAAGGTTTAAAATAGGATAATCAAATAGGCTTTATAATTGAATTGTTTTCCTTTCTACATTTTTCAATACTTTCACCCATATTTTTTTTACTAACATCCTCCTTATGAAGGTGCCTAAGGGGCTGTTTACTTTTACTTTCATTAAGTCCTGTCTGGATTAAGACGTCTGTTTGTATTAAGAGGTCTGTCTGGATTAAGTGACACTGAGATAACAAGATGTTTACTATGTGTGCTGAATGTATAGTCTGAATTATATTAAATTCCCAATCTACCCTTCTGTCTATTACAAATGATGATCATTAGCAATATCATCTCATAAATTTGTCTTGTCTTTTACTTCTGTGATGTTTGTTCCCCATTGGATTCTACTGCGTATCTATTTCTTCTCCAGGCTACGAATTGCCAACAGATAAAATGATGACGGGTTAATAAATAATAATAACACTGGCCACAAAAAATTGCAATTATTACTTACGTTAACTACAAATGAAATCTGCCATGGGAAAAACAATAAACAAAGAATCAACAATTAACACAGTGTTTGGAAGACAAGAACTCATTGTGTATTCCAACAATAATAAAAAGAAATCATGAAAATAGATGGTGTATCAACATCTCAAGAACAAATATCCTCTGCCTTGGGCATAATTCAATCGTTGAGCTTTCTTCTTTTGTCTGCTCTTTTCTTCTTCATGTTGTCTTAAAGGAGAAGAGGAAGAAGTATTATGGCATATCTAAATTAAGTTGAACTTCAGAAATTTTACCAAACAATTACAATATAGTGATTTTACCAGAAATATATGGATTGTTTAGAAAGCCAGCGCCAGATCGAAGATAAGGAGAGAAAGAGAGAATAAAAAATATAAAATCAGATGAAATACCTATATGAAAAGGGCAGGTTCGAGACTTCTCTTCGCTGATTTCTTGATACAAGTTGTTGGGAGCGATGGCACCTCGCAAGTTGCTGTGAGCCGGCGATTTTCACTGGTTTGTAGCCGCTGAGAAGAAATTTTTGAAGGAGAAGGCAGGGTTAAAGACGGAAATCGTTTAACGCAAACACGTCTGAATGCAAAGGAGTGTTAAAACGGAGCTGAGCGAATAAGTGACAACTTGACTAAGCGAATAAGTCGCATTAAAAATTAAGTTGTAAGTAAACACTACTATATAACTGAATGATTAAGTCACTAGTTCTATTCAGCCCATTAAGTCGAAAGTAAACAGGCCCTAAGTTTTTGTCTCATACTACCTCCGTTCTTAAATAAGTGCAACATGCAAATTTTACATTATTCACATGTTCTACTTTGACAACATTTTATTTATTGATGTATTAATATATATTTTTGAAAATAATATTACTAAATTGGTCTCATTGTAAATTTTCAAAATCTGATTTTTATTTTTTATTTTTTACTATTAGAGAGTTATATATATTAATGATCAAAGTTGTGTCTCGACAAAAGTGAAATGTTGACTGTAGCACTTATTTGAGAACGGTGGTAATATTTTCGAATGAATAGGTGAATTTAATTCTGGGAATGAAAAGGTAAGGAGCTGGAGTGCAGGATTACTAATCACAAGTGTGACCTCGGCGTTTTTTGCTGTTGGAGGTGTCTAAATGTAATCACTCATAATTATCGGCAAACCAACAAGATTCAGACCATTCTTGATGTACACAAGTTGTACACAAAATGTGTAAATTGTCTGTGTACATAGACAATTTGACATGAAGTACTGCCCATTTTCATATACTCCTTCGCCTTCTATCACCAATACATATAAAATCGGGAAACAAGTAATAGGGAATATTCCTGAATTAAGAGTAAAAGTATTTTAAAATCCCATAATCGGATTGCCATGTTTGTATTATCTAAGTATGATCCTATCATGTTTGAAAAATATTAGCATGTTTAAGTCCAGTAATGTCAATACATAATCATAATTGCTCCTGATTAGAAATTATAAGCATGACAGTTCTGTTTTTAAATTTACTCCTATTTAGACAACTTTTTTTTACTTAATATCTTTAGTCAACTACCAAAGTCTCACAAATATTAACCAAAGAAAATTGGTGTCTTTAATCATCGAGATGTTTAGTGTAAAAGACTACGCGTAGTATTTGTGTGAACGGTGGAAAAAACAATTGAAGTGCTCTTCATTCACCTATAATTACTTTTTTCGGTAATTATGATCTTAGAAATTAGAAATTCGCCGTGGTGGTCAAATTTTATTTGTAATTAGTCTATGTGCCAGCTTTAGTTAAAGGTCCTATATAAAATAAAATAATGATTATATGATACTCCGTATATTCTCTTAAAAAAAGCTCCGTATATGACTGATCTAAAGTAATACTCCGTAATTCTTAATGAATACAAGTATCTTCAATACGTAGTATGGAGTATTATAAATGGATCTATTTCTTAAAATTGTTTGAACTTTTTTCGAGAAAACTCATCATCTGAAAAATTGATTATATTTCTGGTTTAAAAATAGAAATAGAAACAGAATCAATTTGAAACACACTGGTACCCACACGGACCATAAGAGCATAACCATATCAAGTGTATTCACATTTTCATTTATCAATTTTGTTTCACTAATATTTTAAAATAACTCCATATAAAAAAAAAATCAATTAATACAAGCATCTAATTTTCAATTTAGGTGAGAGTGACACCCTTTATATCCGGTCCCTTTACAAAAAGAGAATGGTGGACATTGGTGGTAGTAACCTTTCAAAGGGAAGAAATAATACATTAATACATAAATAGATATCTAAAAGAGGCAATCTGGTGGGTCTTCTGCAGAAGGAAGAAGAAAATTAGTTAAGGGCCGGACGATAATTATATTCATGCAATGACGACTATGGTTGTGGGCGGATTCCGATCAAAACTTCGTATCATCGTCCCACTCCTACTGTGGTGTACTTCCATTCTTCTCACCTGCGCTCCCGCTGCCGTAATAGGTAGGTATATGTACATAGTTTTGTACTTTTGTCGGCACACCATCCGGTTGGGGCCGTTAAGAACCGAGCTTTCTTCAAACGGTTGGAGTTTTTATGTTCTATTTCTGTTGAATTCACACACTGGAAACTTGAGAAGAAATTAAGTGCTATATTAAGATCTGGATTATTTATCCTATGAGGTCGATCTTTTAGAATAGAACCCGGTTTTAACAACTTCTAATCTAACGAGTCGAGCTTCAAGCGCGAATCGTGAGTATTTTTTCGAGCTGAGCTCGAGCATAGCATTGTTCGCGCGCTTTGATTCGAGAACGAACAATTGCATGCTGAAATACCCAATTACTTAGATATTTAAACACGCGCATAGATTTAGTGCGTGAATTAATGCCAAAATCACACAGCTTATCATTTGATTCTTGTGATATGAACTGGCCACAGGAGCAAATGTTACACTGGAATCAATTCAAATATTTCAGAACCATGAGGAATTCGAGTCCAGTGAACCGTCTGTTTACTTTGAGTGTGAGTTTGACCAAGAGAGTAAGACAGATCTGACTGAAGTAAAGAAAATAAACTTTACATATTCCATAATGCGGGTGAGTATAGAATTTGATTCGTTTTTGCTGATTATCAATTGCTTTTTTGTGACTAATTGAAAATGAAATTTCATATTCCCGACTCTTAAAACTTGGCCAAGTTTGACCGACATGAAGATTGTTAAAGTAAAAATAAAGATGATAAAATTTGAAGGGACATGAGATTTTTTATTAATGATAATGAGTCTATGATGATTAAATTAAGGGAAATTCCTTTTGTACATGCCAAGTTTTACACGTCGGGTTACACACCTGACAAATTGTCTGTGTATAGATAATTTGACCGGCTACACATACAATTTGACCGGCATTTTATGCAGAAAACTGATTTTCACACCGACAAAAATAAAAAAAATGTCTATATCACAGCCACTTTATGAAAAATTTCAGTCTAAAATGTCTGTGAGACAGACAACTCTTTACTTTTTGGCTGTGTGGAAATCATTTTTTTAAAAAACGTCGATCAAATTATCTGTATAGCTGATCAAATTGTCTGTACACAAACAATTTGACGATGTGTAACCCGACCCGTAACTCATGGTGTACACAAAGGGCGAGTCTTAAATTAAGGTGGGAATATTTATTTTGTTTCAGCCGGTGGTGCAACTATCATATGGGAGTGAATGCAAGTCCTGTGGGGTGTACGAGAAGGACATTGCCAATCCGGATGACGTGTTTGGTGTGTGGAAAATTTGCGCTTCCAGTTTTTCTGCTGGAAATTTCAGCTATACTAATGAGACGGAGTTGATCGCAACATTTTCCTGTCCGGACTGTAATACTCTTCCACAGAGTGAAGGTTAGTGCTTTCAATTCCCCGCTAGCTCTATATTACTCCCTACTCTATTTCTTCTCAATTCGTTTTTAGAAGTACAACTAGAATCATACCCGTTTTCAAATCAGCCTCTCTCAATTTCTAAAAAACGGTTTCTTGGAGTACAACTAAAATGAGAATTTAGTATAGTAGCCCCCTCCATCCCATAAAGCTAGCTCTAATTCGCTCATAAAATGTAATCTGCGTATACATTGAGAAAGTTTCCTAAAATAGTGTACAATAGATAGTTTTGTTCCCAAATTAGGACTCATGCACTTCTATATAGGAAAGTTTTTATTGCCTTGTTAATTTAATGTGACTAAATAAGTCTTATTTTGGGAGGAATAACATAACGAGTTCTATATTTAATAATTTCGCCTATCCTTAGCCCTTACTTGAGCAATTTCAAATATACATATTTCAATTAATTACTACTCCTTCTGTCTCATTTTAATTGTTCTACTTTCCTTTTTGGATTGTCTCAAAATGAATGTCATGTTTCTTTGGAGTTTCGAACTCGAGACCTCACATAAGAGAGAGTGAGTTTGCGACCAGCTGAGTTGGATCGCTTCCTCAAATTATAGATGGTCTTTATCATTCACTTTATTCTACTCAAATCTCAATCACAACTTCTACTTTCCAACTATTTTATTAATAATCGTGCCAAATTAAAACATGACAACCAATATGAGACGGAGGTAGCATATTTTACATCTTCAGAAACAATGCTGGAGAAATTACACTAAATTATAAATAAATTCAGAAAAGGATTAAAACTTACTCCGTATTACATATAATTAAAATTTAAAATGGAATTATGTTGATTGTATAAATAGTCTAAGAGAACCATGAAATGAGAACCTCGAAATCAGAGTGTGTGTCATTTTGATTAAATTATTGTGACTTATAAGCCTCACACCCTCACTGGTCAAATTTTTCTTAGATAATCCTCTCTTCATACGGAATATTTGTTACTGAGTACTACGTATTTGTTGCATCAAATTGAACTATATTAAAATAAGCAAGATTCTATGTATTTTCCAAACTAAAATTGTTTCAGATGACAAGCTTCATTTTTTCACATAATTGTTTGTTTTTCTATTAATAAAAAATATAATATTTCATAATAGAGCAGATTCTGCTACTTCACCCGTTCAATAAATTAGTTCAATTATAGTTTTACAAGGAGAGTATTTAGATTTTATTATTAAGTATGTTTAAGATTCTTAGTATTTCTTATAGTACCTGTGTTCTCTTTTAATTGCAACATTGGACTTTTTGCACTATTCGTATATTCTACTTTGATTATATTTTATTAGTTAATGTATTATAAATTAACTTTTTAAAAAATATTGTTAAATTCTTCTCATTCTAAATTTTCAAAATATGATTTTTTTTAAATTTTTTACTAATAAGGAATGAAAGATATTAATGGTCAAACTTGTGCATTGACAAACGTGAAATGTTGACTTTTGCAATTAAAAAGGAACGGGAAGTATATAATAAAAACATGAGATAAGATGGATTTGAATAATAAAAAAATAGTTGCCTGGTTACTCGTATTAAACTAACCAGGTTTAGCCAATTTTAGATTCATTTTAGCAAATACTATCTAGCAACCATACTGGTTTCCCAGTTCTTAGGGGAGGGCACGGTTCGGTCTGGTCCAGTATTTTGTCGAACCCGTACTCGTACCAGGACTATTAAAACGATTCAGTTCGGTTCGGTTTTAGGCCTAGACCCGTTCGGTACGCTTCCATTTTCATACCAATAGCAAATAATGCCACTTTTTCAAATTAATGTTTAAGAGAAAATTAAAGTTTAGTCATTCTCCAAAAATTCACATAGTTTATCGATTTTCATATTATATACTACCCTCGTCCCAAATTGATTTGCAAATTCATCTTCTTTTTTTGGTCAAACTTAGAGCGAACAGTTTCTTTTTATTCACTTAATTAGAATATCACTTTTTATTTATATTCTAATTTGGGCTTTCAAAAAAATATTCTAATTTGGATTTTACAACTTTTAATGTGGTTTTTATCAAAAAAAATTAATGTGGTTTCTAAATATGGATTTTGGATTTTGCAACTTTTTAATATTCTAATTATTAAAATTTGTATTAACTATCAATAGGGAGGACTTAACTTTAATAGTGATTGACCAAAAAATATTGACTTTGCAAACCAATTTGGGACAGATGGAGTAATTAATAAATTTCGGATAAACTATAGTAGTACACATTTAAATAATTAAATCATACTTCAGTCCAGTTCGGTCCGATATCGGTTCTCATTTTATGAGAACCCGTCATGACATTGTTTAGAACTGGTACGGTACGTCGGTACGATATGGGACAAAAAATTAAGATCCGTTTCAAACCCAGTTTTTCGGTCTGGTACCATACCAGTGCGGACGTGCGGTTTGGTACCATGCCGGTTTGATATTTTTGCCCATCCCTAGTTTTTTTTATGTTACACATTGAATTGCACTATTATACAAATAAAAATAAGCAAGGGTATAAGGACTTTCATGACTAAAATTTTGAGGACAATTTTTGTTCTATATCCAAATAGTTTTTTATTTATTTTATTAATATATATATTATGGTCTAGCAGATTCGTCCAATTCACCTTCAGCCACACCTTCAACAAATTCAACAGGTTTAGCCAATTTTCATAATGTATAAATACAGTTTTTGGATTCTACTTTATGTCATTTATGGGTATTAGAACTCAGGGTGTGCAGCGGAGGCGTGTGCCGCGGAGATTGGGGCAGTGGGTGCCGCAGCGACGAGGACGACAGGTGCCGCGGCAACGGGCTAATGGCTATAGTTTTTAGAAAATGAGTAGAAAGCTAGGGTTTTATAATATCAATTGAATGATATATTATGGTAAAAAAAGTGTAAGGGAAAATTAGTCCGTAAACATATTTCTTTATTTATTTATTAGATATTTAAATTTAAATACAGAGTATTAATTTGGGAAAAATTACCGAGAACATGTATTGGAAAATGGATGAGTTTTAGTCATTAATTTTCTCTTAATATAATTAATAATAGTAACAACCATCATCATTTTCTTATTTAATTCTATTTGCTCATATGCATATAATTGAGTTATTTGATTCCCTATGATATACTACATACTACGTATTATTTAAGCCATTTATTTGATTTTATAGTATTTATTTAATTATTTATTTATAATTTTTATTTGTGTTATGTGTATATATGTATATTTAAAAAAATAGATTAGCTACTTAAATTTTACGAATAATTGCATTGTTCTAAAATGTTTAAAATTATGAGATGTTAATAAAGTAGCTACCGTTAATGTTAATGGAAAATTTTAACGGAATGAATCGATTAATATAGATTCAATAGATTAAGGACTAAAATGGTAGATTTAATATTTCAAGGACAAAAATGATATGGCGATAATAGTTCAAGGACTATTTACGCATTTTACTCTACATTTTATTATCATAATTATAAGTTATTGTTGTTGATCGTTATTTTTCTACTTAGCTATTTGATCATGAAGTAACTATTAATGAGAGTAGTTAAAGGCAAGACTCACGAGTAATATATAATCATGAGATAAATCAAAGAAAGTTGTTTAAAAAATGGGTTATCAAAATTCCAGACATTTCGTCATCATGAAAATAAAATTCTTATTTGTAATTCATCCGGTTGAATTTATCTCAATGACATTTCTTTCACGTGCAGCTAAGAAGAAATACCAAGAAAAAAAAGAATTTTATCATTCCATGACTTAAAACATAGGTCTAAAAGATAGAATGTGTCGATATAGGATCTGTATAATTGAAAGCTATCAATCTAAGACCTAACATATAATTGAATTTGATTTATTTAATTTCTTATTAGCTTTGTTACTAATTTTTGATGAAATTATCTTCACAAAATTTTTTTTACAGTAAAAATTTTATTAGTTTTATAAGATTAATTTTTTCAAATAAAAATATTAAAATTCATGATATTTTATATGAGTATCTTACTCGTGAATAATTTTCCTTAACTAATCTCAATGATATTCATTGCATGATTGAGTAGGTATGTAGAAAAGTAACGATGATCAACAACAATGATATAGAATTGTGATAATAATTTGTGTTTTAGTTTAAAAATTTATTTTATAGACAATTTCATTCAATTTAAGAGATATATTAAATGCGATTTAACAAATATTAACGTGAGGGGGCAAAGAATGAGAATGATTCAAACTCAGGGAGTAACTGATTGATTTTTTAAAAGGCTAAAGGGTCAAATAGGCCCTTGAACTAACTTAAATTGTTCAATTAGCCCCTTATATAGGAGGTTCTGCCCGGCCATTGCCAATTGGGCGGTTCCCGGTGGAATGTTTTAATGAATTTTTTTTAGAATCTTCTTCATTAAGTCTAGTTTACTCATATTAAATTTAAGCTAAAAATTCAACCGGGAAGGAAGTCAAATGATTTTTTGAAGATAACTGCGCAGTTAAACAACGCAGTACATTTCGGAAAATCATTTGACTGTCTTCCCGATTTAATTTTTAGCTGAAATTTGATATGGGTAAACTAGACTTAATGAAGAAGATTCTCAAAAAAATTCATCAAAAAATTACACCGAAAATCTCCCCAATTGGCGATGGCCGGGCTGAACCTCCTATATAAGGGGCTAATTGAACACTTCAAGTTAGTTCAAGAGCCTATTTGACCCTTTAGCCTTTTTAAAATGAAAGTTTGCATTAATAAGTACTCTGAATAGTTGATTTCTCGATGATGTAAGGTGAATATGAATAAGAAATAGAAAAACTGGTGATTGGCATTGACTCTGAACCATTATTTTATGTTTTAAATCAGTGCCTTATAAAGTATTCACAATTTCATAGAGGGCGCCATACCCCATAAGCCTACCTCATTAAGGGTAGGTTTGACATAACTAGATGAAAAAATATTTTTTGTATGCTTTTCAGTAACTATTACGGAGTAACTTTTAGTGACAGAAGAGATTTATAAAAAAAGTCATAGTTGTTTGATAAACAGTTGGCCATTTGATTTAGTATTGTTTGGTATAACAAGCTGCAATGATTAATTCATAGGAATAATGCACAAGAATAATCTCAACTATTAATGATCTACTTGAAATAATCCAAAGTATCAATTATCTCAAAATAATCTCAACTATCGAAATTCTTCTCAAAATACTCCACTTACTCATAAATATTACTATAAAAAATTCTTCACATAAGTTATTTATGGATAATTATAAGTCATCGGGGAATTTTGAGAAGATTTTTCGATAGTTTGGAATATTTTGAGATAATTGATTTTGAATTATTTCAGGCAAATCACTAATAGTTGGGATGATTCTCATCCATTTATCCTAGATGTTACCCGTTGTAGAATCTAAAAAAAAAATAATTTTTGTAAAAATCTCTTTTAAAGTGACGTACCAAACACACAACTAAAGAATTTTTAAAATTGTACAAAAACTAGAAAGTATATACTTCTGCCTACCCAACAACACTAAAATTATTGTCCCTATTATCGCCTAGGGGCATAATTGTAATTTGACGAGTCAAGACTAACTTTAGTTAATAATAGCATTCGTTTGCCCTGTCATTTTAATAGAGCAAACACAATCACACAAACATAATAGACACAATAATCTTACTAATTAACGCAAGGCCGCAATCAAATGTCTCATCTTAAGGTATGTTTGGCACAATTAGTGAAAAAGATATTTTTATTAATCTTTTTAGTGGTTGGTAGCTTTTAGAGACTGAATAGATCTTAAAAGTAAAAAATTGTAGCCGTTTGATGAAAGACAACTATGATATAGTTATGTTTGGTATAACAAGTTCTTGTGACTAATTGATACTAAAAGCTACATACTTTCTTCTAGATCCTACCCGATGTAGCTTCTTCAACAAGATTTTTTATTTTGAAAAAAACTCTTAAAATTGTCAAGTCAAACATACAACTAGAAATTTTTAGACACTTTTTAAACAGACAAAAGTTAAAAGGTAGAGGATCATGACTAACAAACGTGCACTTACTCTTTAGTTACTAAGAGCCTTTTGGTGATACTCAAATTGGAATGAATCGGCTAAATCGGAAATTGATGAGTTTGGCTTAATTGGAATTGGCTATATATACTAAATTATAAAAGAAGAATAATAAAATAAAGAAAAAGCAATATTTGAAGAAATTAACTAAAATGACCATTTACCAATTTAGCGCGTGAAATTAAAAGTTACGTGTTTGATAAAAAGTTGATTGATAAGACTTAAAATAGGATAACCAAAAAGGCTTTATAATTGAATTGTTTTTCTTTCTACATTTTTCAATAGTTTCGCCCCTATAAAGGTGCCTAAGTTTTTGTCTCATACTTTTGAATCAACAGGTGAATTTAATTCTGGGAATGAGAAGGCAAGGAGCTGGAGTGCGGGATTGCTAATCACAAGTGTGGCCTCGGCGTTTTTTGCTGTTGGAGGCTAAATGTCTAGTCACTCATGATTATCGGCAAAACCAACAAGATTCAGCCTTCCTATTTCTGTTGTATCCATTTTCAACAATTTCATGGTTTTGTATACCTTGTAAAATTTCTTTCGACACTGTTTTAGTTCAATAGTTTAACTCTATGTTTTATGCTTTCGATAATGATTCTTTTCATTTTTCTTTTGAAATCGTCTATATATGCAAGATTTTAACTCTTTTTTTGAAAACTCAAGATTGTAACTTGTAATGGATTATATCACTCTCCGGTCTCTACCAATTCTATTATTTTCATATAAAAACTATCGCGATTTTCCTATTTTGGTGATAGTAAATAGTGAAAATCACAATATGTAAGATCATTTGTGTTCCAATCTTGTCGGTAATGAGCAGTGGATAACCCTTGAGAATATTAATAGTAGGTTACCGCTGGATTGGTCCACCTCACTCGCCTATGGTCCACCCCATTACATAGTTTGGTATCCTATTTAATTACTGTGGCCCAGTTGGGTTGTCTGCTTGACCTAGCCCATATGTCCCTTTTGCCTTTAACTCAGCCCATGACTCTTGTGACCCTTCTCTTATATTGTCGGGTTCCTTCTGGAACCGCCTATTTCTTCGTCCCTCTCCTGTCTCTATCTGATGAGAAGCTATGAGTGTTATCCCAACCCTAGTGTGAGAGAGTGCCGATATGCCTGTGGGTCTGAGCTCCGGCTACCCTCCGGTTATACCTTGGGTGTCCTTTTGGAGGCTCCACTCTCGGCTGGTAATTTGGGGGTTCTTCTCCGGTGGGTACTCTCCTTAGTCTGGTCTGGGGGGGGGGGGGGGGGGCGTTAGGCTCCTATACTAAGTGTTTGAGGCGATTGCCCTTTCCGACTTCCCTATTGACTCCTTGATGGTGAATGGTGAGCAAGCCCTTGGACTACATTATCAATGTATGTGGTTTCTACTTACATTAATCATTGATAGATTTTTCATATTGCGCCAAATAATCATGTTTTTTCCTTTTTACTACAAAATGGAATTTGTAGATATATGTGTTTAGTCTATTTAAAATGTCAATTGAACCGATTGGAGGATATTGACGTGCACTTTGTCACGGTGCGTCAAAATAAATTCAATACTAGCACTAATACGTAGTATAGTGAAGTAGAGTTCGTATCCACAGGGAAAAGAATAATTCTCTTTTTATGAAGCTAGTAAATAAAAGGGGGGTTTTATGGTTGAATGATTTAATTTAATTAAAAACAAAGATGAAGGACTTATATGAGATTTAATTCAAAGATAAAAAGGACTTAGCATTGCTACTTTCCACTTGTTGATATATTTTAGTCGATTATTGTTATATCTATAACTTATCCCCTCTCAAATACTCAATCGAGGAGTATATCCAATCCATCGAGAGTAGTTATTAACAACGACCGTTCATTAATAACCCTTACTATTAGTCAAGTATAGAACACCGCCATATACCGACATAATAGTAACATTTAATCTTTTAACTCCTTGGTGAAATCAATTGAGATTGATAACCTCAACACAACGGTTTGGGTTTAACCAACAAAATTAATCCCTCTTAAGTTTATTAACCACGACCGTGCATTAATAAACCGAAGTTACTTAATTGTGAAACCATCAACGATTAACCATCGGTTCGTTGATCATTTCTAGTAGTAATTAATGTCGAGATGTTAACTAATTGTCATCTTAGCAACACTCCCCAACATTAATATAGAGATAGATTAAGGGAAGAATTAATATTCAAGGAAGAAGATTAAATATGAATAATCCTACTATAACTAATGTCAAGATGTTATCTAATTGTCATCTTAGCAACACTCCCCAACATTAATATATACAGGAAGAAAATAAATATTACTATAACGAATGTCGAGATGTTAACTAATTGTCATCTTAGAAACACTCCCCAACATTAATATATAGATAGATTAAGAGAATAATTAATATTCAAGGGAAGAAGTTAAGAAAATAACTCACAACTTTAATAATCAACAAGCTTCAAGAGCAACACCAAGAAATGGAAGTTTAGCTCCCCATTTGGAGACGAAACATGCTATAAAATATAAAAGAAATACTATTCTAAAATGAGCTTAAGAGTATGGAAGAAGGGATGTCTTTATTGTGAAGGAAAAAGGGTGTATTTATAGGTGTTTGGAGGTGGCAAAGTTGTGTACCCGATCGGGTATATAGGGTACCCGATCGGGTATTTTAGGCAGTTTTCCGGAAAATCACTTTTCTAGACATACCCGGTCGGGTATGTAGGCATACCCGGTCGGGTATGAGCCAAAAAGTCAAAATCCTGCACGTTATTTTGTCTCTCCAGATTCTGATTTTGACACCCGAATCAACTCAATACCCGATCGGGTATTGCCTATACCCGACCGGGTATATGAAATATTTTTTCAATCTTCTTTTTATCTTGTCCCCTTGCACTTTCCTTGATTTTTTGGGGTCCAAACTTGATCCTTTGGATGATCTTGACCTGTTTTAAGCTCAGAATAATCCTAATCTAAACAAATTACATCTATCTAAAAAAATTAACTAATTACACCAAAAGTGTGTAATTTTCCAAACAACAACAAATAAAACTAGTTAAAATAGAAATAATACATAATAAAAATACAACTCTATCAGATATTTAAAATTGTGAAGGGAGGGGGTCATACTTTTTCAAAATAAAATTATGGCCATATCTATAAAATTAAATTTCTTTCATCATTTGCAATGGAGTCAAAAATTAACTATTTTTGGGCTTAAGAATATGATGAAATAAAGCAAAATGACTTACTAAACTGTCTGTGCTTCTTTGTTATGAAGCTGTAGTCGGTCCATGCAATTTTGGACGCAAATTTTACTATGGGTCATTTGGAAACAGTCTCGATCTATAAAATTGAATTCAAATGATTAATCACTTAAACTTTACTTAACATACCGAAGGGAAATAATTCAGCGACCTATTTTTATAATTTGTAATTTTGGAAATTGCCCAAAAATTGGAATAAACATGTTTTGAAACTTTGAAATAGCATCGCTATGTTTTTCTTTTCAAAATAATAGTCGTTATTACCACATATGATGGCTTTGGTGTAGGGGTGGACCCAGGAAATTCATGTTGGGGGGTCAAAATATTTTTTGAGGGGGCGAAAATTATTTTTCTTATATATATACACTAAAAATAAATTTTGTTGGAGGTGCGGTAACCCCCCTGGATCTGTACTACGGTCCGCCTCTGCTTTGGTGGATAGTTGATTCGTATTTACGGAAATATATACAATCGTATAATAATAATAATAATAATAATAATAATAATAATAATAATAATAATAATAATAATAATAATAATAATAATAATAATAATAATAATACTAATAATAATAATAATAATAATAATAATAATAATAATAATAATAATAATAATAATAATACATGATCAAGATGTATCTCTTTTGAATTATTGAAGAACTCTAATAATATGCTCTAGAACTCATTAGAAATTACAGATGAATTGTCCTACCGAGCTCTGCGACAATAACTGTTTACCTGGTAAAAAGTTTAATTGAATGTCTTTTATGTTCAGGGGTTCAATTGTGTTTTTTCAAAGCAGATGACCAAATTGACTTTTCTAATAGTTTTAATGACGACTCCATATTATTCTATTCGATTTCACATTGCAGTATCAACGTGATGCATTATCACACTATTTTGTTTTTAGAGTAAAAAGAGGATTTTATCAAATATCATCAAAGATAATACATTCTTGATTAATGAAATTCAGAATTGCAGGAAGGCCATGAAGAACCCACTCCACAAGTTGTTCAGATTTCATTCCCATTTGGACGAGCTCATGTGCAACTCTTTTTCCTCCTGTCTGTACCTCATGCCACTGCAGCTCAATCAATCTACTAAAGACACTTCTAGCTTCTTGAATCAACGGATACCAGTATGCATCAGATGATATGGAAGATGAAACACTATGTGTAACCTCAGCACTATCCGATTCAAGAATAATTGACATTTGAATTCTATCTGCACCAACCCGAATTCCATCCAAACATGCTACAACTTCTACCTCTGTGGCTGAACTGCACGCCAGAAGTTGTCTATGTGTCGAGTAAAGCAATAGTCCATTTCTATGTCTTATAACAATGCCAATACTAGTTCCTCCAACTTCCTTAATGAAGGCTCCATCCACATTCACTTTGGCCCACCCTTCTGGGGGAGGTATCCAATTTTCTAGCTCTCTATTCAATTCTGTTGGCCTGTGTGTATATCCACTAGGGGACCCTTTCCGTTGATGTCATGAATATGAAACCGCCTCAAATTCTCAGCTTCGTTGTAACTCCTCAGAAAGGCTATTCCGCTATTGAATCAACAATGGTAGTTTTCCCCTTATTATGAATGACATCGTTTCTCAGATGCCAGCTTCTCCAAAAAATGAGAAGTAGGTTGGCCTTCATCCGTTCATCCACAGAATTGAGTAGAACAAGCAGCCAGTCTGCCCCGTGCTTCCTCCCTAACGGCAAAGCCCAATGCTTATGCATCTCCAACACTAAAGCTCTAACTTTTATGCAGGCTACCACAACATGGTAACCATCCCTTCTACCTTGGCCACATAATCGGCATACACTGCTAATCCCCAAGTTTCTTCTCCATTTACACATCATTGTGAGCAGAGACTCGTGTGCTAATCTCCACGCAAATACTCTCACTTTTGGTTGGACTGTCATGTTCCACAGAGCTTTCCAAATCACCCGTTCTCCATCAACCGCCGTGCTAGCTTATTGCTCTCTTTTGCTTAAATCTGAGAACTGACATGTTAGATTGTAAGCACTTTTCACCGTAAGCATCCCATTTTTCTCAAAGTGCCACGCCGGATAATCCTCCACCTCCCATTGAGGTATTTTAATTTTAAGGACAACATCAGCATCCTCCGGCTACATCAGATATCGGACTAACCGTTCATTCCAAGCCTTTTCAACTTGATTCCACAGTTCCACATGAAGGTTGTTTGGTCCCAATTCCTTTTTTTCGGATGTGTGTAAACTCCCCCTCATGGGGCACCCAACTATGCCTCTAAATTTTAATACTTTGACTGTTTCCCAAGTGCCAAATAAGACATTTCTGTAAAAGCTCCAGCCATACACGATTCCTTTCTAGGGTTGTGTCTGATCTAATAGAGCCCTGACCCAACTTTCATCACCCTTGCACACAAGCTATCCGGCGTGATCAATAACCTCCCTGCTTGGCGTGCAAGAAGGGCTTAATTCATGTCTCTAAATCCCATCCCACCGAATGACTTGGGGCAGACAATCTTCTCCCACGCTAGCCAGTGCACTTTATAGTGCTCTTTGTCATGTCCCCACAAAAAATTTCGTACCAGTTGCATATAGTCATCACACAACTTATCGGACATTTTAAAAACACTCATGAATATGTTGACACAATGCATGCACTACCTAATATTTTTACTAAACAGCTAGATATATACTGCTAGATACTGCACATTTCTTAATTATTTCTAAAATGAGAATTGGAAATTGTTGAAATTAACTAAAGTCATTCATGGTCAAAGTCTCTAAAAATGAGGCTTGATGTGTACTGATATACTATCGTAGTAAAATTAAGTATAGAAAACACTAGTCTTCAAGAATGTCAAACCGAATGCTGATCCTACACAAATCAATAATCAATATTGATATTTTTGGGGTTTGTATTTCACTCCTTGGTTGATAATTGTATTGTACGTTCCTCCGACTTTTTACTTCTGTAGCAGATGATTTAAGCCTAACAGTCAACGTAGTCTTTGTATTTATATTTTGAACACCAATCTATAATATATAGATAGTTATATTTTTGGCCCCTATTTTTTATTTTTGGGGGACCACGAGGCTCAAGCCTCTCCGGCCTAAAGGAAGGGAGGCTCTGCTCAAACCTCAACCCTTAGTTTACATTTAGAATGGTACCAGCTTGCAAATGGTGAAAAACCAGTAGAAATGATCAAAAAAAAATTGTTTGCCTCACGTGAGTGTGTGATATGTTCTTTTCATATCGATAGCCTAGAATATGTGTGTTACTCGTCGATGTAATCGATCAGGTTATGAATTTTCATTGACGGTGTGTGACAAGGCTTGTTGAATCTAATTTTTTAAAGTCCTTAGTCATCCACCCTCCTCTTGAACCATCACCTTAATGATGGAAAAAGACAGCGCTCAATTGGATCTCCTTTAAAGTGGATGATCAAACTGATGATTCTGACGATTTTTGCTCGATAGAGCTTCCTTTTTTGGTTATTACTCAAATCAATTCCTCTTTTCGGTAGCTCGTGAATCTAGATCTTTTAGTTATATTTCTTTACTTTTTATAAATGAGCAAGACGGTTAGATTACTCTACTTTATTACGCGATTAACGATTTAAAAGAATTCATCAAATCTTTTAGTGGTCGTTTGGCAACAATGTTTTTCGGCTTATCAGCTAATTTTTTCATCAAACACATAATTTTGGCTTTTGCGCACTGAATTGTGTAACAAGCATAAAAGTAAGGCTGGACTTACTTTTCTGGCTATATTGGCTGAAGTCAGTCACTGTAGATGACCATTTTAGCTATTTTTACATATAATTTTTTCTTTATTTTATTAATAAAATATGTTTTACAAATAATTTTTTCTTAAATCAGCAGAATCAGCCAATGCAGTCACTTCAACCAGAACTTCACAAATTTCAACAGAACCAATTAAAACAACCAATTTTCGTACTACCAAACGAGCTCATACATTTTATGTCGGGAGAAAGACCATTTTGGACACTATGATTTTAGGCCAAGTTCAAATTGGCCATTAACGTTTTAAAAGGACCAAATAAACACAAAAATCAAAACAGTGATCTATTCCATGTTTTTCTCTCTTGCTATCTACTCCCGTTTCATTTCCACGCTTCCCAATCCCCTTATTAACCTAACAACGTATCCATCCCTAAAAAGAAGCAATTGCGATAATGGATATTAGGTTAAAAGCTTCTGCAATTTTGAGATTCCATTTCTCAATCATTCAAATTTAAAACTGAGCTAGAAGGTTTTAGGGGAACGTGCATAAAGGGGAAGAAGCAAACGTTGCCAAAGCATCTTTCTATGGACTTCTTAGATTTTTCACTCGATTTTGGTGGATTGTAGAGTGGAATTCACCCAGTTTGTAATAAAATTGAATTCCAACGCTTAAATCAACCGAAAAAAATCAGTAAAAGTTACTATGTACTCCGTATTGTTTATTGCAGATCTAATTTCTTTAGCCTTTTGTGAATTCTCTCCGTTGTTTTGAAAATTAATGGGTGAGTGAAGGGCTCAGGGCGGAGTCAGGGGTCAGGGTGGTTAGATGACCCCGCTGAAAGTTCAAGAATGTAGAGCTCTGAAATACCTTCGATTTGATATATTATGGGTTCTGTAACTCATTACGAGTAAAAAATTATGACTTCTGAAAAAATCAGCATCATCTTAACTTGAAATAAGCAAAACTTGATATGTGACGTTGATTATATTCTTAAATTGAAAAATAAAACACCTTATTTAGTCATTAGTTGTGTGAATATTATGATACATTACATATATATATCAATACATTAACTAAAAAATATAATTCTTATTAAATTACCAATTATCTCAGCTACATATGAAACATTTAATTCAAGTATCGTATAATAATCGTCCATCATCTTGATACTGTATATAATTAAAGGGAAAGTTCCCGAAATGGGACTAAAAAAGTTCGAAAATTCCAAAATAGGACTGTCATGTTTTTATTCCCAAAATAGGACTAATTACTGCCAAATTTGAAAAATACTGACATGTTTGAAGTCTGATACTGCCAAAACATGGCAGTAATTAGTCCTATTTTGGGAATAAAAACATGGAAGTCCTATTTTAGAATTTTCAAACTTTTTTAGTCTCATTTTCGGTAATATCTCATAATTAAATTCCGACCCCCTCACCCATTTTTCTGTTTCCGCCCCTGGAAGGGCTTCTCATCTCTCAGTAGTCCGCACCTCCCCACACCGATTTCTTCCGTCACGATTATATCAGTATATCACAGCTAAACTCACAATCTCTTTTTTCAGTTTAATCATACATTTCTAAGATTAAATAAGCAAGCCCGACATTTCCTTCTCCATACAATTTTACTTCGGGTGATCATTGTTTTCAATAGTTGAATTATACAGACCAAGTGGCTGAGGTATAAATTTTGGGTTAATGGTTTGGAAGTCATCATCATACACGTCGGTTGAAGATATAAAAGAGCATAAAGAAATAAAAGAAAATAGAAACAGTAAAAATTAATTAAACAGACGGTTCTCAAAAGAAAGGTATAAGGACGCTGTTGAACAAGGGAGTGTTTGCATTTGATTAAAAAAAGTGGTTTTCAGCTTTTGGCTTAAAAAAGGTTTTCACATGACAGCTTCTGCTTAAATTAATCACTTAAAAGTTAAAAGCTGGAAGCAGATGGAAGGGTGCTTTAAACTGCTTTTCACTTTTTCTATTACACAAAAAGTACTTCTTTTACCGAACACTATCAACTTTTACTTTTTCAGAATCACTTTTTCCTCAAACATTACCAACTTTTACTATTAATCACTTTTTCCCAAAATCACTTTAAAAAATCACTTTTTTAAAATTGAAACAATTGCAAACACTCCCTAAGAGTGGCTTAATTGAGACAAACAAATACGTAGTATTTCTGAATGTGTCATTTGGTCCAAAAATAACGTTAAGATTCACTTACACCTTCAATGTCATATTTGATCTTTCTCCCTTTTATGTCATTGTGGACTATTCATTCATTCTACTCTCTCCGTCCCTAATAAAACTTCCAAATAGATTTGTCACACAGTTTAAGATAGTGGGTATTGTGTGATGAAGAGTTGTGCAGAGGAAGGAAAAATGTGTAAGAATTGTTGTGAATCACAAATTCTTTACCAAAAAGGGAAAATGGAAGTTTTAATTGGAACGGACGAAAAAGGAAAGTTAAAAGTTTATTTAGGGACCAAGAGAGTATTTCTTTACCATCAATGAATAATTAGTTATTTCATTCCTCACAAGTCACAACAACTTTTACGTCCGGTATTAAGGTTAAATGCATAAATGGTACTTCAACTATTGGTAATGTTGCATTTTGGTACCTTAACTCTTAAATGAATCAAAACGCTACATTAGCTATACATAAATGTTTCAAATTGAGATTTTATTCAAATTTCCAACCAACAAATTACACGTAGCGGTCAGAATTCTATGCGTAAAGTTTACTTTACCTTATTTTTGTCCATATGATCACTATAGGGTGGCTGTGCACATGAAATTTTGATCGTCATGAAGGATTTTTTTGTTAAAAATTTGAATAAAATCTCAATTTGAAACATTTATGTATAGTTAAGGTACGCTAAGATTCATTTATAGCTTTGACCCTGGTGTATTAACTCCAAATATTCGAAAGGAAAGAGAAGCCACCGTCGAGCGAAGAACTTCCTCGAAGCCTCAATCAATCACAGCCCATCTCCGGTCAGGCAGGGAGGACGTGAGTATAACCGTCCATCCTCGATCGCTTCTGGTCGATCATCCAGAGAAATAGGGAAGAATAAAGGCTTCATGACAATCCGCCGTCTATTAGGACCCACACTTCGTATCATAGTCCTCTTGTCCAGTTCTATTCTTCTAAGCTGGATTCCAGGTAACTTAAAAACGGCACCATACATACATTGCTTTGTTGACCTTTTCGATCGGGACATTTTATGAATCTCGGAGTTTTCTGATTCTGCACATGGAGGAACCGGTGATCAACATATTGAAGAAGTTTTTTTAAATGGCTTTGCAGAACCGGTAACAGCGGCAGTTGTTACCCTTGATTCAATTCAAATATTCCAGACTCACGAGTTGTTCGGTCGCAGTCCGACTGTTTACTTTCAGTGTAAAGGGGAAAACAAGACAATCTTGCCTGATGTGAAGAAAAAAGGCATTCTCTATGACTTCAAAGGCGAGGAGTCTTGGCAGGTGTGTGATGATTTGTGTATATAGATTCTCCGTATATAATACTCCTTACTTCGTAATTCTTAGTTTTTTCAATGGACAGTTCACAGTACTGCAAGCCCCAAGGGGGCCATAGCCCCTCCCAAAGTTTTTTTTTAATTAGTAGTTTTAGTTTTTAAATTTTTGCCCCCCTCCCCCAACATTTTGATTTTAACTACTGTATGTATCGATTATGAACAACTGAGTATGGACCGTATCAAGCATCAACCATACAGCGGTTCATGTTGGACCTAAGCTCTATTGAAATTATTTAAATTTAAAGCCTAGTGACCTAGTCCAAGATTTAATAAAAAAAATGTTTGAGATACTTGTGGTGCTGCTGTAGTGCCGTCTGCCCATGTGACATCTTTGTCAACTTAAAATAGCAAAGATCAGTAACAATTGAACAAAATGAGCAGCTCAAGTCCTCAGATGAAGATTACAATATGGAACATTTCCATCTAATACTGTAATATGGGATCGGACCGCTCTTTTCTGGTGCGAGAGTAATTGCCTTAATAAAAAAATTTAGGACAATAAAAAAGAAAAGGTTTTTTTATCATATAAAAAAGGGAGTAAATGATTTTCTTGACATGCAAGAACAACCACTCTAAATCTTAATTCACCTATGTTTAGTTATGTATTTTCGAATCTTTTAAATAAATGATACTTCGTAGTATATTATTTAATGTTTATTGAATTTTTGGATTTTATGCTTCATATGTTACTCCAATCAATGAATCATCATCTACCTCAGTGCCGCAAAGGCTCCCACCTACGGTGGGGTAAGGCGGGTCGGATGTACGCAGTCTTACCCCTGTACAATAGCACAGAGAGACTGTTTCCGGATGACCCATAATGAAAATCGCGTCCAAAATTGCATGGAATGACTGCTGCTTCATAACAAAGAAGAGCAGACAGTTTGGTGAGCCATTTTGCTTTATTCCATCATATTCTCAAGCCAAAAATAATGAATCTTTGGCTCCATTGCAAATGATGGAAAACTTCATATGTTACTCCGTATTAAAAAAAACAAATCACCCTTGCCCCCCTCATGGTCATATCCTGGCTACGCCCCGTGACAGTAGATCATGACTTGAAATGAGCTTTTCAGAGCCTATCACGGTTTAGCTGTTATTTGTGCCATGTTTCATGATGCTAACGTTCCTAAGCTTTTCTGTCATAGAAGAGGACCAGTCCTTCCTTTAAGTTAACCAATGTTAATTAGATTACTAAGTTTGCAGTAGCAAGTGATTCCTATGCTTCAGAGGCAAACATTAAGTTGTTGATTGATAGGTGAGTCTGGGTTTGGGTAACTATTGTCACATGGTATGTATGCTTGCGAGAAAGTTATCTACTATTCTACTTTGTTAATGAGTTATTTTAAGATCTCAATTAAACCCCATCTTCATTTCTCTCGAAATATGTAAAACGATCTGAACCACAAGAGTAAACATCTTCTGATTCATCATACTATTTTCATTTTCAAAGCACTTGGTTGCAAAAGAGCAAAATACTTGAAAGTTGAAATAGGTAAACATTTTCAGGAGTGTTAACTGCTTCAAGTGTTTTGCTCTTTGTTTAAGTGCCTGTTTGTGTTGTTTGTTGTGTAATTGCACTTGGATTGTATCCAGTATGAAAGCAACCTTTTCTGCTAACACCCAATAAAAGTTGATGCAATTATTAACCCATTATAGTCTATAGAGACCTTCATTATGTGATTGTTTTGCAGATACACTTGAAAAGAAAATTTATAGCTTTATTCATCCGGACCAGTATACATTTACTTGACACCCTAGGTTTCTCATTGAAGTGTCATATAATGTGTGTTCATGGTGTGCCATATGAATTTACTTGGAAAGGTCATCAGAAGTTAGAACAATAATAATACAGACTATTGGAATTGTATTTATGGTGTGCCCCATATGAATTTACTTCGAATTGTATTTATGTTGCAGCCATTGACACAACTTTTAGATAAGAAATGCAAGCGGTGTGGGTTCTACGAGGAGGATACAATAAAATCAGATGATGTGTTTGATGAGTGGGAATTTTGCGCATCTGAGTTTACAAGTGCTGATGGAAAATACACCCATTTCAAGGAGAAAGAGTTCAATGCAACATTTCGGTGTCCAGAGTGTGTCCCTCTTGTAGGTGGTGGGTGTTTCTCCTCTTCTCTCCCTCTGACTAATTATCTGTTAATACACCTTTAGGCATAGGTGAATGGTTCCGCAGGTTATTCATACCTTGTCCTTCCACCAATATGATTCATTCTTCTCTTAGGCAATGCCAGGGTTGCCAGGGAAAAGAAAATTACTTTTTTGTGCAAGGTTTTACCTAAAATGTGCAAATGAAATATGAATTGATGTTTTTAGTTTTTTTGCAGCCCTTAATGATTAGAAATAAACAAATCAGACGAATTTTAATAAAAAACTGAAATAAATTAAATCAGGTCTGAACCGGTGTTTAACCTTCCCAAATCCCTCTTCCAAAAAAAACCTCCCAAGTCCCAACCTAAACTTAGTTATGCTCCACTAGCGTTCTCCTTGTTCCAAATGGGCCCTAACTTTTAGTCTCATATATTTTTGTAGCACCTGTTCACTCTTATTCCCAAAATGAGCAAAAGGGAATGAGTTGGACAATAGTACTGCTCATGGTTGCTTTGGCCTCGGTGATTTTAGTTCTTGGAGGGGTAATCGCTCACAGGTATTGGCAAAAAAGGAAAAGACAACAAGATCAAGCACGCTTCCTCAAACTATTTGAAGAACAGGATGATGACATGGATGATGAATTGGGAATAGGGCCCCTCACCAATGTCATATAAATATGAACATATGTATACTTTTCACTAACTTCAGAGAATTTTTTGTTTTTGGAAGCGATATATGATCATATTTTCATTTGTATAGAGCAAAAGTTAGTAATTTGAAGTCTCTGCATGCATTTGTTGTATAGAACTATTGAAGTTTACGTTATAGAAACACAAAATGCAAATCACACTCACGCATAACTGTGTTCAGCTTCCTCCTATTATCTAACCACGAGCTCATCTTTGTTCTTTAACACCTTTAATGGAAGCAATTCATGCTTCATAAAATACAAACTAAATGCTAGGAATCTAGGATGCCCACTTCCACGGACGAGACTATGATCGCGTAGGCATGGACTAGATCCGGGCCGTGCCAGACGGGCTTTTTTGGTTATGGGGAAAGACCCAGAACTAGTGCTGGACTCGGCCCGCTTTGGGCCCGACCGGGCTGCCGGTTAGGAAATTTTGGGCCCGGGACCGGCCCAGGTAGCCACCAGGTTCAGTCCGGGTTCGGGCTGGGCCGGGCCTCGGGCCTCTTACAATTTTTTTCCCTTTTTCTAATTACCCCCAAACCACCCCAAATGGCCCAAAATACCCAGCCCAACCTGGGGATTTAAAAACAAGTTAAAAAAAAAACCGGAATCGAGCCTGGACCGGCCGGGCCGGTTCATGTTTTGGGTGACCCCGAGCCCGGACCGGAAACCCCTCGGGTCGGGCCTACCTGGACCGGTCACTGGCTGGGCCACCGGTTCGGGCCGGGCTGGGAAAGTGCCGGTCCCGGGCCGGTTCCGGGTCGGGCCACCCGGCCCGAGTCCACCACTACCCGGAACTGGCCCGGGGTCCATCGGGACCGGGCCGGGTTGGGCTCGGGTGGGGTTGTATTTTTTTTTTTTTAACTTTCCTAATTATTTCCAACACCCACCCACCCACCCACCCACCCACCCCCCAACAAAACACCCAGCACACCTCGCCTACCCCAAAAAAAATCTGAAAAAAACTCTAAAAAAAAAAATTTGGGCCCGGGCCGAGTTGCCCCGGCCGGACCAGTTCCAAAGGAGGTTAAGCCCGAGCCTACCCCCGACAATCCCCCCGGGCCGGTCCTAGGCCCGGAACCGGTCCCGGTTAACCGGGCCGGGCCGGTCCCGCACAGTGATAGGCCAGGCCGGACCCAGGCTATCCCTATGATCGTGTAGGAGGATGGATGTTGGGCTTAGACTGCATGGACCGAAACCGGGCCGCCCGGCCCGGCCCGGTACTGTGTTGAACCATCTTGGCCCGGTGGCTACATAGGGCGGGCCCGGGTCATGCAAAATAGGAACCGGCCCGGTTCGGGCCTTTATTTTCTTTCAATTTTTTTTTATTCCCGGGTTGGGTTGAGTGTTTGGGGGGGGTGGGGGTGAGGGGGGGGGGGGTCGGGGGTTAATTAGAAAAGCAAAAAAAAAAAGAACCAGCCCTGCCCGGAACCGGTGGAAGGCCGACCCAGACCAGGTGGATAACCGGACCGGTTCCGGGCCTCAACTATCTCCAAAAAAGCCCGGTCAGGCCGGCCCGGGCCCGGTCCATGCATAGCTAAGAGCATCTCCAATGGGAGGGTGCATTGCACTTGATGTGGCATAGGAGAGAGATAGAGATAGAATAAATATTTGGATGAAGTGGTGTGTAGGGAAAAATGAAAAAGAGGAGAGAGGTAGAGGTAAAAATGGACCAAGGTCTATGACAAGATCCATATATGGACCTTACACGGGATTCGAGGAGGAAAAGTGGAGTAAAAGTGATATAAAAAATGAAAATGAAAATAAATTAGGAAATATGTGGTCCTACACATAAAAATTGTGAGATAAAAAAAATGGGACCCGTGCGTAAGGGTGTGTAAGAGACCACACCCTTGAATTGGAGTTTGTGATTGAAAAGGATGGACCGGGTTTAGGACCTGAACCAAACTTGTTTCCTATTAGTCTTTTACCTGACCAGTATGGTGAAATGCAGTATTTGAAATGCATGTGTCAATCCATTAAGTCCTATCACAATGCATGCTTGAAATTTGAATTTAATGAAACAACTAAACAGCCCATTTGATAGAAAAATCAAACTAGAGAAGTTGGTTTAGTGCTTGTCTATGTTTAGATTTATATTATGATTCCAACTACATAACACTGATTACATGAATGAATCAAAACTCATAAACTCCTTATTTTTTACTATTATGTTGATGAGCTTCGTATTGCTAGGTTGAAACTGTCCAGTTCTGTGGAGCTTGATCCATGCACTGCTTTGATCGTGTCTATGCAGCAACTGCAATTGTACAAAAGCAAACTTAGGAGTTCTCTTTAGCTTTGTTTTTTGAGACTACATTAAACAAAACAAAAAACCTAGTACAATCTTAAGAAGCGCCTTATTAGCGGAAGAAGAGATATTATCAATTTTTCATGCAGAGTGGGAAAAAACACCTAAATTATACGATAGTACGTAGTACCAAATCATATCAATTATACAAAAAAAGACCTGCAAGCTTCCTTGTTGACCTTTTTCTTGTCAATTCCATACAATGCCTCAAATATTTCCCGCTCTACCCGACAAAAATATGGCCGTTCTACGATAAAAAGAAAAAAAGTGGGAAAAATAAAAATCATAAACATGGCTAAAGAATGGAAAAATGAATAATAAAACAAAGTCAAAGCAAGAAATTGACCTGCATATATAGAACACATTCTTGTGCTTTTTTCGTCGTGTATGCACAAACCATCTTCACCCACCAAACTTTTATACAACTGAAATCATAAAATTCATCCATGGCTGTAAAGCCTGTAATCAACTTCACATTCATACAAAAACAGAGCGACTAATAACAGTAGTCAAAAACCAGACCTGAATGTCGGAAGGGTCATCGAAAATTTCTTCCGGCGAGGGAAAGTTTTGGCCTTTATCGAGTTTACAGCACGCTCCGCAGTTCTGTACGCATTTCCACTCCGGATTTTTCTTCGTGCTTCCAAATCCTGATGAACTCTTTGCAATTGAATTGCCGGAGTTCGAATGTTCAGTCGGGTTCGAGATTTGTTTTCCCTTATCGGCGTTAGTGGAGTTTCTTCGCCGCCGAGAGCGGCTAACTGCCGAGCGAACTACGGCGAAACGCGGCGGCGCCACCGCTGCTGACATAAACGACATTCCAATCGGCCCTTCGGTTGATTATTATTATTATTAGGCTGTTTGAAAGTATAAGAAACCTTTTGAAAATACGAAAATTTGCTAATGGTTCGGTTGGAACCGTTTGAAAATATGAAAATTTCCTAATGATTTGTTTTGTATAAATTATTTTATAGAACCGATAAGGAACTAAATCCTAATCCGGTTCTTGTCATTTAACGATTCCTAGTCTTTGAAAAAATTCTTACAAATCACGACTAATTTTTTTGCCAAAAAGACATTCAACGTTTGAAATTACAATACAAATATGTTGAACTAGTTAAAGACAATAATAATTTTAAATGGTTTGGACCTTCCGAGTTCCGACCCGCTGGAGTTTGGACCTAATGAGAGGCCTACGAAGCCTAAGAGAACCGGTTGAAGTGAATAATAGTTTTAAATAGTTAAATAACTAAACTAAAATATTGAATGTAATATAAAATTAAATAAGTCAATATACATTAAAATATATATACTCATAAGAAATATATATAATTTTAATTATTAGATACAACGGTTCTTTAACGGTTCATGATACATATTTCTTTCAGGAATCGAGAACTGAAGCGTTAATAAAAAAAATAGGAACCGAACTTTTAACAAATATAAGTAACTAATAAATGTTGGAACCGAATCGAACCAGATCATAACGGTTAGGTCCGATTCGGGTCTCCGATTTTTGTTTCCAAAGTCCCAGCCCTAATTATTATTGCGACGACAGGAGTCCGTTTTTACGGGGTATTTTCCATGTTTGGCCCATTCGTATGGACTGAGGTTGTTGTGCTCTCTATATGGGCTTGTGTTAAATGAACCTTTTGGGCTTTTGTATTTCCGTCTAGTTTTTGAAGAATGCTTAACATTGGTGTAAAGTGGTTTTAATAAAATTAAAAATAAGAGTGTTTGATGAAAATGATTTTTTTGAACATACAAATTGAAATATAGTGTAAACCACGCCTTTCCAATGTTTGAGCTTTGGGCTTCAAAATGTTTAATTTAAAAGCTAAAAGTTTAAAAGCAAACAAAACATTCATTTAGTACTCACACGTTGAAATTTTTCCCCTCATCTTTTTTCTTCTTGTTTTTTGTTCTTTTATCCTTACATATATAAACATTTTTTTTATCCTTTTTATTTTATCATTTTTAGGTATATTCATCTCGTTTTACATTATCTTTTTTATAATAGTTTTTTTTAATCTTTGTTTTCTTTCTTTTCCTTTTGGTGGTGATATAGTGTTAGGTACTCTCTCCGTCACTTAAAATTTTGTCATCTTTCCTTTTTGGGACGTCTAAATTTTTTTGTCATTTTCCCTTTTAATCAACTATTTTGTGGTTCTTGTTATTTCTCTCTCCTCTGCACAAACCTCTATCACACAGTTTTTACTTTATTATTCTCCGTGCCGTCAAACTTGGCAAAGTTTTAAGGGACAGAGGTAGTATTATTTATAAAATGGTTGGTTGGGGCAACAATATACGAAGAACATTTTTTGTGTACACCATTGGCACATCTGTCTGTTTACGCAGATAGAGTTGTCTGTATACAGACAACTCTATAGAGCCCCACAAAGTTGCCTGTATGCAGACAATTTTGTCTGAGACAAGTGTACACAAAAAAACGTGTACATCAAGCACGTCTCAATATAATTATAATTAATTACTCCCTCCGTCCCATTGGACTTTGCTAACTTTCCCTTTTTTGTTGTCCCAAAAAACTTTGGCACTTTCCTATTAAAGCAACTAATTTGTGGTTCTGCACATTTCTCTCTCCTCTGCACAAACTTCAACCACACATTTTTTACTATTTTTATTTCTCACATATTTTGCACTTGGCAAAGTCCACCGGGACGCAGGGAATATTTGATTGAAAGTGAAATCAATCCAAACACATGTGCCTATCTTCAGCCCTAAGCCACTAGTAAGCCCCTAAGTGTACTTATGTCACGCCCCGGACCTACCGGACACGTCAACAACCCGCCGTACAGTACGAATAGTCAACCGCAGTCCAACTCATCCATACTATACTAGGCGTCTTGAATATCATTCACAATAGTACATCCATAAACAACCATAATGTAAAATAATCATTTAAATCAGCGGAAACGTTTAATACAAGTGTTTATGCCACACTTCGGCAACATGGGCGTACAAGCCCCAAATAATTAATCAAAATAATATCCATGAGCATTAATTTAGTGTTTTAAAAATAGAACGGAGGAAGCACGAACCACGTCTTCTCTCCCTGAGCTCCCCGAAGCAACGGGCGATGGTAGCAAGCTTTACTCCCTACCTGAAACTGTGAGGTGGCCTCCCCCGTGAAGGGGAGGTCAGTACTTGGAAGCATTTGACAAGTACAATGACAACTATACCAAGTATAATCAATGTTTCAACTTCTAAGACCCTCAAAATAGGGTGATATCATAATATAAATAACAATTTATATTTCCCACTTATTATCTCTATAATAAGTAAATTTATTTATTTGTCGGCACACGGCCCATTTCATATATTTCATTATACCCGTCGTTAGCACGACACCGCCCGTAGGTCTTATCATCCTTTACGAGACTTGTCACCGCTCTCCGAGGCCTCACCGGGCTCTCGGGCCGGAGTCCAACATCCCGCCCCTGAACTCATACCCATCGTCCCGTAGGGAGGTAAGGTCCATTCGGGGTCCTATCTTATGTGTTACCGCTGTCGGGAGCCTCGTAAGGTCTCCGGTTCGGATTCCACCCTAACCCGTGATCACGATGTAAGTCCATGCTATCCAACCCCGCTCTCTAGAGTCGGGAAGGGCCATGGTCCTTACTAATTACCAATATTCTATCGGCTAATCCTCAAAGACTACCGAATACACCCGTAGGCCAATCCTATTCCTAGGATCAATTTATTATTCACTTTATCTTGGGTATCCCTTAAGGCCTACCCCTAGTATCACTTATCCACCTTAGTATCTCTTAAGACTACTTAAGGCTCAAACAATTTACAATCCAAACCTTGGATCAATTCTAACATATTTCAATTCCAAAACCCCGACTAGTATCATTATACTAGTCGGATAAATTCCAACAAAATCTCATTTCAGTTCGTAGTCATATAGACAATTCTCAAACTAATTTTCCATTGAAAATATAGTTCACATCAATACACAAAATATAATCTTTAATCACTCATATATCCTTATATGAAGTTAAAGTTATATTTCAACACAATATTTATAATTAATCCCTTCGTCAAGCCAATATACTCATATTACATAATCATACACAATTTATCCTTAAATTTGTATATTATGCCCCTTTATTCATTTACAACAATATTTTCATTTAGGCATTATTAATCATTAATAATCCATGAAAATCACATTTAATTACTTTAGGTAATCTTACGAAATTAACCCAAAGATTATAAACAACATAGTCAGCCATCCTCACCTTATGAAGTGCTGAAATAGTTGTCCTCGTTAAGCCCTCCGATCAATCCTCGTTCTAAACCGATCAAAAGCAACTTCTGGGCAGAATGATGAAAGCCGGGCGGCTTTCACGAAAGCTGGGCGGCTTTCGTGGTCTGCAACTACGAACAGCTCCCTTCAAGTGGCGGTTTCCGGCGGTTTCAACTCCTACCGATTCCACGACTCTTCTAAGTTAAATACCACCACTTTATAGCATTATATTACACTTTTTAAACGTGTAAAACCCATGGTTTAATCCACCATATGATTTCTTAAAAATCATACACAAAAACTAGCTAAAGGGAACTAGTTAAGTTCTTACCTCTCTTCTAGCTATTTTCTTCTTGGACTCCTCCTCCTCTTGCTCCCTTCAAGTTGAGCTTTGTGAGACTTACCCTAGAGCTTTCTCTCCCTCTTGGCTTTGGGTGGTTCGAATGACACAAGAGGATGGGGAAGGATTCCTCTTCAATCACTTACCTCAATCAAGGCATAGACAATGCCAAAAAAAAAGAGGTGTGGGTTTTGTCTCAATGAGACTTCCCATTTCCCTCATCCGCACAAGCCAATTTGTGTGGTCCCCCTCCCTATTATTTGAGTCTAATTAGTGTGTAGAATATCCCAAGTGGGTGTAGGGAGTCCCTCCCAATTATTCCTGCTATTTTTGGTAGGTTCGGCCAAAATAGCACTCGGGTTGTCCAAATATTTTTATCAACTTTTATTGGCACTTTATTGGGCTTCTATAATTTATTATGATGACCCAACTAAATATTTGGTAGTCCGGTCACATATACAGGACCCGGTAAACAATTTAATTAATCGTACATTAATTAAATATGTCAATCAATTACACGAATTTTATTCGCTAGAAAATTCGAATACATATCAAATTCCAAATTCAAGTACATCCGGGTGCGGTGTCACAAGTTCACCCCCCCTTAACGGGAATTTCGTCCCCGAAATTCACAATTGCTTACTCAAACAGAAATGCATACTGATCCTTCATTAAGGCTTCCGTTTCCCAAGTTTCTTCTTCAACTCGGTCACTTTTCCAAAGGATTTTAACCATTGGAACTCTCTTGCTCCTCAACTTCTTTACTTGCCTATCAAGTATCCTTACCGGTCGAACGGCATAGTTCAAGTCCTCACGTATTTCCACGGGTGGTTTCTCTAACACGTGAGACGGATCCGGCACATATTTCTTTAGCATAGACACGTGGAACACGTTATGTATCTTCTCCAATTCCGGAGTCAACTGCAATCGGTATGCTACGGCCCCAATTCTTTCCAGAATCACAAATGGCCCTATGTAGCGTGGGTTAAGTTTCCCTCGGCTTTGAAAACGGATGATCCCTTTCCAAGGTGAAACTTTCAGAAACACCTCATCTCCCACCTTAAACTCTAAGGCTCTCCGGCGTTTATCGGCATAGCTCTTTTGTCTATCCTGGGCTGCCTTAAGCCTATCACGAATCATCTTCACCTTTGTCTTGGTGATCTCCACCAATTCTGTGCTCTCAAGTTTGGCCATGCCAACTTCGTCCCAACACAAAGGCGTACGACATCGCCTC